AATAATTGATCTTTTTTTCTGATTTTATTCATCTATTGTAAGTTTGGAAAATTCATCTGTGATTTTAATTGTCACCTTTAATTGAAAAAGTAGAATTATATCTAATTTTAAATTTATATCTAATTTTTACATTCTCCCTTACCTTCTGCAATTTATCCTCAATAGCAGATGCACCAAGCAATTCGAGATTCTGCAATTCATGAATTATTTTACTAAAAAAAAAATGGAAACTATATATTGATTTGAGTAAAATTCTTTCATCTTTATTAGCATTTAAATTTCGAATTTGATCAAATTGATTGAATTAAATTATCTGAAATTCAAAATTATTTTATTGTAGAGAATATTTCACCTTTTCAATTTTTTCTGCTTCCTCTTCGATTAGCTTTTCACGTCCTTCAGATGCAATACTTGCTCGATGATAACCAGGCTCCCATTCTTCATACTCCTTCACATTTAAAATGCACATTGCCATACATAGTGTACGTAAACCTAAATTTTAACTCTTTAAATTTGATTAAATTTAATGCTCAAATCAATGTAAGCGAGTTTTTAATTCAACATAACAAAAGCTGTTCGAATGAAAATAATTTAAAATTGTAAGTTGTGGTAATTTTTGAAAAAAAAAAAAAAACAAACCAAGATTTGCAAAATGTACCAAATGTTCCGTTGTTCGGCTAGTTATAAGCTTGTCAAAATTTGGTGCTAGTCTTGGAAAAATAACACTATCCTAAAATTTAATCGTTATCCGAAAATTAAATATAAGCGGAATCAAAAACATGAATACTTAAAAATATGCCTTTTATAATTTAATTTTTACCGCGCCTTTGATGTATAATTTTATTTTCTTATCCGGACATCGCACAATAACACCCATTCGTTTTCGATTACTGGTAAATTCTAGCACATGCAATATATCATACTTCTCTTGCTTACCCATCTGTAAAAATTTTAATAAAATTGAATTTTTAAAAATTATTTAAATCATATTTTCAAACGGAAAAAAATAAATATTTACAGCTTCAATATAAACACATTGTGGTGTCCGTGTATGAAAGACAAATTTCAAATCTCTTGCACCTTTAACCAATGCTTTTTCATCTAAAAATTCATCGTAAAACCATTTGGAAATTCAAATCTGTCCTCTCTAATTTTACCATTTAAAAAATTCAAAGTTTTTTCCTTCAAAGTTTCTTACATTTTTTATGTTTCTATCAGAAAAAGATCGGATCACAAAAATTATCTTTCAATTATTCATTGTGGAATATCCTTTTTTCTTTTGATAATCAATGTGGTTTGTTAAATAAAAGTAAAAATTTTCTAGCAGCAGCAAACATTTAAAAAAAGAAATGATCGATCAAATTGGAAAAAAAAACGAACTATACTAGAATATAATACCTGGTGATGGTGAATGGTAAACCAATTTTTGTAATCCCGAACTTACTACCTTCTCGGGAACAACCATATGGCAAATTGCTAGTAATGTTAAAAATTCACGTATAACTTTCGCATTATCCTTAAAAAAATGGTTTAAATTTTTAGAATGGTTTGAATTTCCTAAATATTGCTCCAAAAAGCTTCTAAATTTTCAAAATTTAAAATACGCCTTTTTTAACATTTTTAAATTTCAAAAGTAAAGGATAAATTTTCATATTAAAAATCAAGTAAAATAGAGAGCTTTGGAATTTAAATGGAAAATTCAAATGATACAAGATTCAAGAGAGATATTTGCATTTTGGATTTAAAAAATTGAAATTATATCAAATAGCTATTTTTAGTCAGCATTAAAAGAAATCGTTGAAAATTACTGACAGCATTATTAGTCAAATCATTGACAATTTTTTCATCGATGAATTTTTCCGTGTTAATTGAACCATATTTGACACCACCAATGGTACACATTTTAAAGCGCATTTTATTCTGAGTTAATGTTCCCGTTTTATCACTGATAATGTAACGTACCTATAACGGTTATAAATAATTTGATGAATAGTAGCGAAGAAATAAAAAAAAACTCAAAATAATTTATTGATATAAATAATAGCAAAATATTCTAAGCACTAGCATAAATTAGCAATTATTTTTATGCAAAAAAAAGGCAAACAAACAAACTTGTCCAAGTTGTGAATTCAAATTTGAACTTCGTACTTCAGCTCTTGTATCAGAATTTTCATCGTAAAGATTTAAATCCTGAAAATGATCATTGCAGCAATTAATCTTTTTAATGCTCTCTTTTATTTTACCGTTATCAGCAAACTTTTATGATAATACAAACTTGTTGAATAAAGTAAGCTTGGAATAATTGAATCATTTCAAGTGTGATATTCAAACTGATCGGTATTAGACCAGAATAAAATATTATTAGGCCGATAAGTGTCGGAAAAATATGTAAACGACGAAAATTTCCTAAAGATAATAATTTCAATTATTTTATTCCATTTATTCCACTTATTTTCATTAAATAAATACTTTAATTTCTATTAAATTTTATTAAACCAAATTCAATTTCAATTATTAGATAAAAAATAGTAGTTATTAAAAATAATTAGGTTTTATCAAAACCAAATTTATTATATTCTAAATATTGTTTACATTGAACAAATATCAAATAATTTATAATATCATCAACAGAAACAATACGGTAACTCTCTTTTTTTCGCTTCGCACTGTTTTCTTTCTCCAATCAAACTTTAAATTTGAATCTTAATTCAAATTTAAATTCTCATAAGAATGAATTTTATCAATGAAGAAGAAATTACCATGAAAATATGGCATATAATAATAGACCTTACTGATACGGCTACAACCCATATATGCATTAAATAAGGCCATGAAGACTAAAAATCCGAACTGAATCATCATCATACAATTGGTAATTCGTTCCACCAATGATCTTCAAAATTTGTAATAAAATTTGGCCTATATTGAAATTTGAACTTTTGAGTTGATGATCAATGCATAATTGATAAAAGTATGATAAAAGAATTTGGCAAATATAAATAGAATTGATTAAATTTCGACAAAAGAATTAGTAAATAAAAATAGAAATGATTAAATATTTCCGTTTAAACTTTTGCTCATTTCTTCTAAATAGAAATACTTAGCCGAAAAATTTATACAACAAATTTTAGATTAGTTAATCAATGAATATTTTTATTTTCATCGGACACTGATCAAATTTAAAGTGATAAGATGTAATGCTAAGATATATAATTGCTTGTAAATAGAACAACGCAGATGAAAAATAAAATTGATAAAAAAACAGTCAGTTAAATCAATAAATTTAACAATTTCATCTTATCATAAGGAAAATAAAGCTTTTCAGCGATAATTTTATCATTTAAATCAGCAGAACGAGTAACAATAAGTTTCTGATAATGATTGGACTAAATAATTGAGCTTTTAAATTTATTTCATAAAATGAAAAAGAAAAAAAAAAGCAAAAAATGGATGAAATATATTTGTAGCAAAGTTTCAATCTTCTCTTTAAATATTTTTTCCAAAAATTCACAACATTGGATGAATGCTTGTTTTGAATAAAATTCGCATAGTAACTTTAATTCATTCAATATAATTACTCAATGCTACTAAGGTAATTAATTATCACTCCATATTTTACATAAAAATCTAAGAAATTTAATGATGATAGTTAATTGAGTAATTGAGAATGACGGCTCCTTAAATGACACTGAATCAGTTACTAAACATTTTACAAAAGATGAATAAGAAAATAATTTAAATTATCGTATATGATAGCATTAATTTTAAGTTGCAAAACTAAAAGTATGTAAGCTTACACTTTAGTACGAGTAGCGCTTGTATTCAAAACAAGCTTTGTGGATCGACCGACATATGCAGTAACACCATAGACCCAATCGGTATTTTGCAATTTACATCCTCGAGGTAATAGTTGATTTGTTCCTGCAAATTTTATCATTAAAAGTAAATTAATTGTGCAAAAAAAATTACATGAAATTTTAATTTTCATTCCTGAAAAGTTATCAAAGGTTAAGATAAATTATATGGAATAATTTTTTTTTTTATTTCCATAAAATCACTCAATACTAAAGTAGATTGTTTGTACGATGTTATTACACGCTAGCCAGCAGCCAAGATGAACAACATATAAGTGCAAAGGTCAAGTAATGCGCAAATATTTTGAAAAATTAGATGCAACAGTAATAGCAACAGCACCAGCAACAACAACAGCAACAACAACAACAACAACAACAACAACAACAACAGAGCGGAGCGATTCGATAAATGCGATAACAATAAAAATTACTGAACAAATAAGCGTAATAACAGCAAAGTTGCAATAAAACATTGATTGCAAATTTATTTCACTTCGTAGTTAACTAATTAAATGCATTTATAATCAATCAATCAGTAAAATAGAAATTTTAATTTTTTTTTTAGATCTTTATTTCGTTAACTGGCCAATTGCACTATTTAGCAAATGAAACTATTATCATTTGACTAAATAACAAACCAAGGGAACAGTCCGTTTTAAAATCTTTGTAACTTTCCTTGCTCAACATTTTAATTGAATTATTAATTTTAATAACACCATGAAATTCGTACAGTGCTGGACTCGGTGGATCACATTCCATTTTCCACAAAGATGAACAAAGTTCCTGCAGTAAAAAAGTTTTCATTTTCCCTTTTCACGGCTAAAAAATTAATTCGAAATTTTGAGTGTTCGAAATCAAATCAAATCAAATTGCATAAATCAATTTTAAATTTTTAAGAAATTTGAACACCATAAAAGTGACACGCATATGATGTGATAAATAAAATTGGAAATAACTTTAAAATATTTAAAATTTTTTTAAATTTATCAAAAGTATTTTGATTTTTGGTTAGTTATTTCTAACTGCAAATATAAGGATAACAATCTGATAAATATAACATATAATATATAAATTACAATGTATTTAATAATCTCAATAAATTTGAAGAATTTTTATAGCATATATCTAGCATATATCTAGCATGTATAGAAATATAATACAAAATGATAACATGTAGTGATAACAATGTTACAGATGTGATGATAATAAAACGACTCTAAGAAATCGGAGTGATTTTCCACTTTATTTGATTTTTCATCAAAAAATTGCAATGATTTTTGACATCCAATGATTTCCATTTTCCATTTTATTTAATTTAATTTTCTAACCTCACTCATTAATTCATCACTGCCACTTATAAAAAATTTAAAATTAATTCTGAAATTTGAAATAGAATAATCGCATATTATCCTAATGAACGTACAATAGCTGAATTATCATCAATTATTCCAGCAGTTCTTGGCAATGCTTGACGAATTTTAAGATTCGTTTCACCATCCAAATTACTCGTTTCAATATATGCTACACCGGCTGGTTCACTTGATGAAAGCAGTACAATATCCGCTGGGATAGCTTCATTTTTCATAATTTTCACTAATTGGCCAAC